CAGCTGATGGGTGACACGTGCACCAGAGGCTGCAGATTCTGTTCAGTAAAGACAGCAAAAAATCCACCTCCTCTGGATCCCCAGGAGCCTTACAACACAGCCAAGGCTATCGCTGAGTGGGGCTTGGATTACGTTGTGCTGACATCTGTGGACAGAGACGGTGCGTACGTCGCGCTCCTCGCTTTCAGTCTGAGCCCTCAGGTGTGCTACGTGGGGTAAGCACAGGCCTCGTATGCATTTATCAGCACAGCTGTCAAGGAGCTCTGTTCTAAAGGAGTCCACAGTGCTGAAACTTTGGCAAGTTCCTGCATATTCTTGGTATTTCTCCGTATCTGGTAAAATACAATAGAAGTTACGCTGTTATTAAATCCCAAGAATATTAGAATACTAAATATTTAAATTTTTTTGTGAAATGCATACATAAACACCATATTCTGTTACTACATTAGCAAAAAAAACACCCAACCACAAACATTCATATACAATGCCATTACAGAACTTCTTCCAAACACTAAATCTGTAATATAGTATATGTAATAAAAGGGAGCGGGGTTTAGGTTGGACATTAGGAGGAATTTTTTCACAGAAAGGAGGATTAACCATTCGAATGGACTTACCAGGGAGGTGGTGGAATGACTGTCCCTGGAGGTGTTTAAGGAAAGAATGGATGTGGCTCTTAGTGCCATGGTCTAGTTGACATGGTGATTGGTCATAGGTTGGACTTAATGATCTCAGAGGTTTTTTCCAACCTAATTGATTCTGTGGTTCTGTGAAAACTGGAAGTTGCCTTTTTTAAAGGTTGTAGCTCCTCTGAAGTGACACCACATAGGAGGGGAAAACCACTGCAAAAACTGTTCAGTATGGTGGGAAGTCCAGCAGCTTCAAAGGGGCCTACAGAGCAGTAATATATATATCTCAATTTTTGTGCAACTGTTTCTCAGACCAAAACTGTGTATAGGTAAAGCCATTCTGTGCTCAGGCTGACAGTGGACCTAGAGACAGGTAAAACTGAATCACAGTCACAGGTAGACTTTGTGCAGAGCAAGGCTTGGTAGGATATCTTTTGTAAACTCTTGGCATAAGCGGTAAGATAAGACTGGGGTTTGACTGGTTTATTATTTCTCATTTAAACTTGAATCTGTTACGAGTTTTGTGTCTTTGCTAATAAGCGAATACATTTCTTGAACTGAAAGGTTAACTGAATAATTGAAATGCTTCTAGATATGCCTGACGGTGGAGCGGAACACTTTGCAAAGACAGTCTCGCATCTGAAAGAAAGGTGTGTCATTAATGTACTGCTGTTACTGTTATAACCTCAGAATATGGTACTGCATGTAGGTCAGAGCTGCCTGTAGCTGAGTATTCAGGAGCCGTGCAGATATAAAAGTCTGCCTTTAGCCTATCTGTGCTGCTTTTTCTAGTTTTTCATCTGTCTCATAGAATGGCCCCAAACTGTTTTGAATTTGGATGCATTTCCAATTCATCCCAGGCTTATGTAAAGCTAAGCACTGGATTCCTTCTTGAAACGGGCAACTGGTTTACCAGTGAGTACATTCTTCTGAGGTACAGTCATTCCTGAAGCCGGGGGCTCAAGCACAGTATTGCTGCCACCACATGACAGAAGGAGTCTGGTTTCTCATTCAGATGTGATCGGATTGCTTTTCATTCCCCCACAATGGCCATTTCCAAGCCTGTGAATGTACCTTCCTGCTTTCCCTGGCTGTGTCACTTTCACCCTGCATTGGTGCCCTGTACACCATTTGACAGCATACTTGTCTAGCTGCAGAATTCATTTGTATAACCTCATTTAAGTGTTTATTCAGTGTATCTTGGGACTCCAAAGGTTCCTTCAGTTTTTCCCACCAGTCTTTCTGAGCTGAAATCAGGTTCTTGATCACCAAGATGAGATTCCAGGGCAATAACTCAGAGTCCTCATATACTAGTAGGCAGGGTCATGGCTGCTCTGTATTTTGGAGCTATGATTTCAAACTCTTGTTAAGTTACATGACTGCAACAAAGACACATGAAAAATCTTTTATAAGCAGTACATGTGATTAAAACTGTTTTAGAGGCTGTTGGAAATGCTCTTACAGTTATTATTTGGCTTTTGTTGTATTCCAGCTCACATCGGTAAAATCAGGAATTGAACCCAGTTCCTGTTTGATTTGTTATAGAAGTATTTGCAGAAATCTGTTCTTTTAGAATTGTACCCTGAATTAACTTTGCTTTGCTATTAGAGCATCATTTATTAATTATTTATGTGTGGGTTTTTGCTCTCTTGAGTTTTTCGACAACACAAAATCCCACCGATGTGTTCCTTTTGTCCCTCCTTTTCAGGAATTCCAAAATCCTAGTGGAATGCCTAACTCCCGATTTCCGAGGGGACCTTAAAGCTGTGGAGAAAGTAGCGTTGTCGGGGCTGGATGTGTATGCGCACAACGTGGAGACGGTCCCGGAACTGCAGAGGTGGGCACCAGCACTGTGTGCGGCAAGGGGGTCGTAGAAGGACGCTCTTTCTGAGCTGCCCTGAAGCCCCCGTGGCTGTGGGAGGTGGCGGGAGCGGGCGGGGCCGGGATGCGGAGCGGCCCCCCCCCTCCCCTCCCCTTCCCTCCCAGCCTGCCCCGCGCGGGGCCCCGCCGTGCCCGCTGCCCGCCGCCAGGGGGCGCCCGCGCCGCGCCACCGCCGCGGGGTCACCTCCCTGGGAACATCCCAACATCCCATCGCGGGTGTGGGACCCGACCTGGGCACATCCCGCTTGTGATGCTTCGGGGGCTTTCAGCCTCTGTTGAACTGCTCAGCTAAAACCTCTACGCTGCCACTCTATAGAAATGAGCAGAATGAGCTTTTCCTGGCATCTTTAACTTCTGTGCACCTTTTCATGTTTTCTTTCCCCCCTTGTGCTGGAAATGTGCAAAGGAAGGTCCGTGATCCCCGAGCCAACTTTGAGCAGTCTGTGCGTGTGCTGAAGCATGCCAAGGAGGTCCAGCCCGGCATCATTTCTAAAACCTCCATTATGCTGGGGCTGGGCGAGACAGATGAACAAGTGTATTCCACAATGAAATGTAAGTTGGTGTTGAAATAGATGCCAGAATTCACAGGTATGAATTTTATTGTGTTGGAAAACAGTTGTACGTGTGTTTGCCTCTACGTGCAAATCAGTTTGCCTGGTGCAGGAAACATTTTCTAAGTTCCATTGAAAAAGAAAAATTTGGTTAAAAAAGACTGAATTTCTGAAATATTTTTCTTTCATATGGCTTCCAGAGTCAGTTTGACAGGTAAATTCAACTCGTGTTGATTTCAGTGGAAATTAGAACTATTTTTGTGTAATTGTATTAACATTCTTATCTTGCAATACTTAAATAATGAGCTTGCAACGTTCTTGCCTTATTGTGCTTTGCTTTTTAGAAGCAGCAGACCTGATTGTTTAAATTATTTCAGTTAACTTAGATGCAAAAATGTTACTATCCCTGGAGCTGTAACATGTTCTTATTTTACATGTAAATGTACTTTTAAGAGGACAAAAAGCCATTCATGGTGGTAAGTGAAAGCAATGCACTAAACAGGTTCTAAGTTAACAGTGAGTGCAGTGCTGGAGTCAAAAGTCTTTTCTTCCTATTCAACATGGGGCAACCAGCCCACATAGCCAAAAAACATATGGGGATGTTCATGCAAACTCTGATTCCTCAGCCATCCCTCTCTTTGTTCAGAACACCCCTCTAGCTGCAGTAAACAGTTCTTCAGGCCAGCTGACTATCAAGTATCCAGGCTTTCCCCCTGTAAATAGACTACCTGAACTCATTTGTTGTTTATTGATTTTGGTATATCCTACAATTGTAAAGACAAAGTTTATGAGATTCTGCAGGCATCAAAAAATACACCATAAGTGTGTAAAACTGGCCATTTCCCCTGATTTATGGCACTTTGGAACCTCCACATCTTTTCAGCATCTAGTCTCTTGAAACAGTGAAGTGCCAAGTGCACGTGCACCCATTCGTCTTTTGTCAAATGAAGGCTCTGACGTAAAGACAGAGTGAAAAGCAGCAAGATAAAGACAAGAGCGTGTCATCTCTGCAGTGAGACTCGACTGCAGTGAGTGCAGCACCAGGGTATTGTCCCTAGCTCAGGGCCTGCAGCAGAGAGAACTCAGGGAGCTGTGTGGCTACTGCACACAGAGGCTGCAAGTTCCCTTTGCTGTGAGCAGAATGTGGCTCCCACAGGGGAGTGAGCCTTGTTCAGACTTGGAAAGAGAGTGTTTTTAATGGCTGACAATGCCTTGTGATCATTCTGCCACTAACAATTTTGTTTTTGCAGTATTGCGGGAAGCAGATGTAGATTGCTTGACCCTAGGACAGTACATGCAACCAACGAAACGTCACCTGAAGGTAAAAGTGCCTTTAATTTACAGGCAGAATTATAGTTTGTATTTTGCACAGTTATCCTTACCCTAACTGCAGATGTCAGGAAAAATTTCCTTCCTTGTTCAGCCTGATAGTGTTCATCTCTTACATACTCTTCACTAAAAATTATCTCAGGCATCTAACTCCTTCCATATTCTGCAGACTTCCCAGTGCTAGGTTCTGCTGTTAGCCAGGGAGACAGCTGGAGCTGAGGCATGATTCTGGAAAACAAAGGCTTCAGTGTATGTCTCAGGCATAATGGCTCAAGCCAGTGACCCTTCACTGTCTCATAGGCTCTCCCTTAATAGTGCCACTTCAGCTGGGGAAATTACCATTTTCTGCTTCTGTGATCTGTCCAGAGCGTCACTCTCTGTTCTGTTCCTGTGTTTCACTAAAATAAGTGTTAGTGAAGAGATCTGTAGGACTACTGTAGTTTTTTACTAACTTGGACAAAAGAAAAGGCTTGCTCCGAAGTACCATTCAAAAACAGAGTGAAGAAAATTCTAAACTTTCAGCTAATATGAAAAGCAAACAAAATGCCTTATTTTGGTAGAAAGCAGAGAGAAAATACAGTTGGTGACTTGACCGCTGAAAAGTTTTGGAGTCAAAAATTATGAACTTGTGATGTGTGATTTCACCATGCCAGCTATACCCATTTCCTTTGCATTAACACCTGATCAAAATTAATTCTTTTCACTCAGGTTGAAGAATACATAACTCCTGAAAAGTTTAAGTACTGGGAAAAAGTAGGAAATGATCTTGGATTCCATTACACTGCTAGTGGGCCTTTAGTGCGTTCCTCCTATAAAGCAGGTAAATTGCTGAAAGGCGTTAGATTCTTCAGCGTGTAACATTTTATTATGTAAAATTAAAAGGGTGCAACAAACCTCACCTTAGCTCAAGGACACTGTGTATTTGTACAATTGCTGCGCTGCTTAAGCTGACTTTTTTGCCAAACATATTTTGTACAATTCTTAATGTGTGAGGCAGGATAAAGGGTACCCAATTTGCAAGTTTTCCTTTACATTCTGCCTTTTGGATTAAACCTCCAGGTTTAATGGGACTCTTTGTTATTTGTGATGCAGTTTTGTTGCTTTAGGCAGAATTTATCTACAGTGCCTTAAGAAATAATTGGACACACTTATGGTAGTGCTTTTTCTGACACAGCACTGGGTATTAAGTAGCAGCTGATATTAATGGAACTGTTGTGAAGGTACAGCATCCTGCTTTTTCTGAAGGAGAAAGCAGAGAAGACTCATCTGGGGCACTGTGCTTCTCAGTCTGTTTTAATGCCAGCTCAAACGTTTGAGATTTGTAGCAGGTTTCCCTATAACTTGCTGATACTTTATTAAATAAGAATTCATTTTTAATTAAACCAATTCACTTGCCTGTTGCAAAGCACAAAGCAGCAGAGCTATTTCATAAAATTGGACATGAGGAAAATCAGGATTTCAGGAGTGGAAGACTTATGTGTTATGGTTTGGGGTTTTTTTTTAGATTCCTGCTATATGTATTGAAAGTGCTGTTGCATAGAATGGAATTACTGTAAAATACTGGTATTTCCTACTGTGGAACAGAACACTCATGTTAAATAAGAATGTGTCTTGTTTTGCCTTATTTTATTGAAATACCAACAACTAATTCTGATGCTTTTTTCCCTTTTAATTAGGTGAATTCTTTTTGAAGAACTTAGTAGAAAAAAGGAAGACAAAAGCTATCTGAAAATGAGAGTGAATCTATTTAAAGCAGCCAGTTTGAAGGATCCTTTTTTCAGCATATAATTACACTCAGTTCCAGAAATGCAGAAGACCAGATGGTGAATATATGAACAAACTCACTATCTTTCCAGAACACTTTTCTGTCAACAAAACATTATTTCTCCTGGCAAGGCTACAACTACTGAGTACTTCTAATGTTCAGCAAAAAGACAGAAGATGATAGAAACGATTTTAAAAGAGTGATGGAACTGAGGTGGAAGAAATAAATGTAAGGTGGAAAAAAAGATTGGGCAGATTTATAGATCTAATACTGCCATCAGCATTGCTGCAGTTAATACCTGTGAGGATGCTGATAGAAACTTGAAAGGTACTGATACTTCACTGTATCTTACCATTACAAGCTTGCAGGGGCTCTGGGAACTATGGGAGTCCTAAAGAAAGATTTTGTACATGATAATGGACCAGAATAGGGCTATCTTGAACTACACCAGAGAAGGAATGGTAATACTACTTCAGGAGGTGGTATTTCTTACCTGTATCTCGAGAAAATGAGCTGTACCATTCTGATAGCTGAATCTTTTCTGATCCTTGCATGTCTTGACATGTGAGAGCCGTGGTAAATACAAGATATCAAGCTGAAGAAAACAAATCCTTTGTGGCAAGACAATTGTAGATACCATATAATTTAAACCATCTGGAAAATCAGAGTTGGTGTAAGAGCATAAATAGTGCCACCCCTGTTTTGATTACATGACTGTAACAAACTTCAGTGAGTTGCACAGATGCTTGTCCAGTATTGGGTATGCAGAACTGCTGCTGTTCTGTACTGTGCTCCTATTCTATGGCTATTGTCTTGGCATTAAAGGAAAGTTGAAAACCTGGTGTTTGTGTTCGGTGGGTCTGGTTACCTGCCCCTTGAGGCTTGGTCTGGCTGGTGAATCTGAATGCAGAGAGGTGAACCACATCACGGGTGAAATGTGGAATCCATCGTGTATCATGCTAACCTCAAGCAGAAATAAAAACATGGCTTATGGTATACTTGCAGCTCTAAATGCTTCTCTTTTCAGCAATAATGGTGATCATTGTCTCTCTAGTAATTCTCAGTGATGCATATGAGATACCATTTTTGAACTGGCTTCACCTGTGTCTTCACGAAATTATCTGGGAAACATTCCAGGAATTTGCTATCTGGTCCCAAACCCTCATCATGCAGCTAGTTCTATGGCTGGCTCTAGTGCTTCTGTAAAATACTGTCGTCTGTATGAAGGAGAGTGGACCCTCCATCAGCCAGATAGTAGAAGGAAGACAGCTGACTAGCAAGTTAAAATATAGGAGAAACTTGTTATGAACAACAATACTATTACACCACTGCAGCCAGTGAAGCACAAATGACACTTCACAAAATGAAGTAGAAGGGTTATTAAAGTATTATAAAGACAAATAACTTTAACCAACCAAGAAGAAATGTCCTAATTCAACAGCGTAATGGGAAGAGAAACCTGAACCGTGAGGAACAGAGGGGAACAACAGAGAAACAAAAGTCTTAACAGGTATGCTTTGTAGGCAGAGAGAAAGGCAAGAATGCTTTTTTTTTTTTTAAATAATAATAAATTTAAAAATTTAAAATAAAAAAAAGTCTGACTGGTAGTCATGGAAAGACCAGGTATCCTTTGAGCCAAAAATGCCTTGCTTCAGGTGAAGTACAGCTGAGTACCAGAGCAAGGGAAGGTCATCAGCTATGGCAAAGAAATTCAATACTCCCTCCCCTGCAGCAGACAGGGATTAGTACAACATCAGCTCCAAGATACCCACACATTTAACAGCTGCCTGCCTTTATTAGAGGTCCTGCTGTAAATATTGGTTTTGACCTGCCTACAGAGCAGAATTAACAGGGTATGACTAGAGCTTCTGCCAAGTTACTGCTCTTTCAGCATATCAACACCAGAAATAGAGAAAAAGGGATTCTGAGCCATGCAACTATCACCAAACTGGAACAAGAGAACAGTACTTACCTGTGACTTCTTTACAGTGAGAAAAATAATGCTGCTTGAAACACAGTCCAATACTACTTCATGTTAGAATAATCTTACGATTTATGCTGGGTGATTCAGAAAACGATCTCATGCTCCTCTGTCTACCTACAACTGTCTACCACTAAGTTTCGGAAGCTGCACAAACTATTTTCTAACTGCACGTTTTGCAGTAGCTTCTAAGGAAAACAAGCACACTTCGACTTCATAGATTGGAGGAGCTCTTTGTGGTTTTTTTTCCACAACGTTTGAAGACAAGTCCTAAAGTTCTTTTCTTAGTTACAAATTCCTGCTTTCACAGCCATTTACTTCCCTATTGCCCATTCATTTTTTCCATAACTATATGTTAAAGCACCAAACTCTCACAAATCTCCTTGTTGTAATTCAGCACAGGTTTCATGACTCTCAGTTTTGTTTCCGATGAAGTTTCATGTTTAGTGACATTTCCTTTTTGTATGTCAATCACATCATTCTGTTTCACAAAGCAGCCAAAAAATATTTTAAGAAACATTATTCATCCTTGCAATCAGGAAAACATCAAACTGAGTTTTGGGAATAAGATGTCAAGTTGACACAGACACTTTAAAAGAAAGAATAGTCTTTTTTAGCATCATTACATCCATTCTACTACACTGTGTGAAGCATAATTGTTACATGTAGAGAATTGTTGCACCTTCCCATGACTTCAAGTTTTCAGGTGAACACTCCAGCTTTGTTGATTTAAGAGCAATTTTAAATTTCTACTTGATGAATAATTAACATTGTGTTCCCTTCATTTAAAAAGAAGGTGTCACATATTTATGCTTCTGTACTATGACAATGAGGTAACTTACTGCAGATGTTCAACTTACAGTAGAAATGTTAAGCTCAACAGGAAACGCAAGTAATGAAAACTGACTCCAGCATTCCTAAATCAGATAACTATTATTCTTTCCTGCATTGTTTTACAACTAAATTCCAACTTAAGCTGTTGAGCAAGATTAGAGCATTGCAAGAACCTCAAGTCAGAGAACTATAAACTTGTTGGCCAGTACAAAATCTCACCTTAGCTGCTTCTATAGTAACTAGTCTTGGTTAAAAATGTATGTTCTAATTCGCTTGCAATATTCTTGGCTCTTGTATTGCTAGAACCAGACTAGTTTTACCTAAACAAAGACTTGAACACACATACATGGAAGAAAGTGGTACATCTTGCCTGTCATTTACAGTTTGCGTATATTGGGTAAGACCTAATTTATGAAGTCTGTATTGTGCTATTCCTAGACTTGTATTAAATCTGGATTTGCTTTAGCTGTTGTATTCACATTTTTGCAGCGAAAAACAGTGTTACTGTAGGATTGCATTTTATTCAGAACCACATAAAAAGAACTCAGAGCACAGGAGTCCGTTGCTCACATTACACAAGTCTCATCCAGAATTACATGCTGTAAAATTCCATACACAAAGACTCAATAACAGTAACCTCCCTCTCTTACATGCAGTACTCAAGCCTTCAAAGTAGGAATACAGTTCTTATTTCCCTGGCAACTGTACTCTTCAGACAATGGCTTATGATTCACAGTGCTGGAACTCTCCCTTTTGGCCTGTGGTAAGGTTCATTTGCATATATGCAAAGTAACTTTGCTGTATCCTGAAGGAATGTTCCCACAATTCCAGTGTCCTGCTGAAAGCCTGCAGCCACCAAGAAACTAAAATGACTAAGAAAGCAAGGGAAATGCCAGTACCAGTTTTATCCCTTGTTGTTCTTCAGAAAGGATGTGCTGCTCCCCCCTTTCTCAAGAGAGGGGAGTTAGAGTGATCCCACTGTAAGGAACTTGGCCATTTTCTAATATCTTTATGACTACAGCCAAAAGTCACGATTCAGGCTTTGACTAAGTCTGCAGGAGAAACAGGACAGGAATAGGGGTATAGCACCTACTTCCTCTGCCTCCTTGGGAGGGCACATGAAAAACCACTGGAAGCACATTCCCAACATGAGCAACACTTGATGCAAGACTAACAAACTGATGAGGACATACAGAAGCACTACTACCACAGCTGTGTGCAAATTTCTGAAAACCATCCTGATTTTCTGATGCCTCTATTCACCCTCCTGGTGGATATGAGCCCTGCAGGACTGCTGTGCTAACCCGAACATAGTGAAGGACAAGAGATCCTTTGAGCACAACTTGTCAGCACCCTCTTCATAATCCCCAAGGGGAGGTGACCAGCCTGCCCCTTCAGGTGCTGTGGAGGTGGAGGTAGCCAAGAGGATGCCCACCTGTCATCACAGGATGATCTACCAGTTGGAAGTACCACAGCTGTATCATCATCCCAGGGTTGTCCCTGTTCTGCAGGTGCAGCATGAAAGCAGCAATAGTCAATGAGGAAGGGAGATGGGATGAGGTAAGATGACAGTTCAGTTTTGAGCCCCCATAAATCCCACTCCCATTGAGTGGCTTCTGATGTGCTCCTCTGAGAAGAATTTTACAGCAGGACAAAAAACCTGAGGCATATTTGTCCCAAGTGCCAGGTGACTGCTGCAGAGCAAGTCCCCATATGGAAGCCACTTGTGCAGAATCTGAAAGCGTTTGGTTCAAGGATACAGCTGTTTCCGTCAGGTTCCTTAAATCTTCAAGTATCTGTCCAAAGCTTTGACTGAACCTACACTTCTGTGGGTAAAGTTAGGGTGGTAGCCCTCATTACCAAGACACTGATCTTACCCTCAATTTAACTATTAATACAGCATTCTTGAAGGCACACCAGTTGCATAAATTCAGAAGGTATTATGTGACTAGTTGCATGATAATTCTCTAGTATCCCAACACTATATTATTCAACTAAGATGTCTACACCTTCTAGACTGAAAGCTGTTCATGGTCATCCTTCTCTGTCTTCCCCTCCGTTTCACAACCCCATGCAACAAGCCAAAAACACAAACACTGTCATCTCAAGGATTTTAATAGCACTGGCCAACTGAGAATAATAAAAACAGGTGGAATTAAAGTAACAGTAAAGGCAAAAATATCAAGATAACATAGGAATTATTCATTCCTGCTTATTAAATGAGGTAGCAAGCTGACTAACTTTTGGGGCTGAATTTATTTTTAATAATTTCTTCACGGCAGAGATTATTTTTTTGCAGATTCATTAAAAAAGCTGCTTTCAGATGAAGTATGTAAGCAGAACGAAGGAAAAAATAACCATCACGTAACAATCAATCAAAGCCAGTATTCGCTTTCTACTTGGGCTGACACCAAATTAAGGTAATTCTGCTTAAGTTCAATGTTTAAACAAGCAGAATGCTCCTCTGCTGAAGATAATGTTGTGTTGCTCTAACTTTGGATATATCTGCCCCAGGAATCTGATTAAATCAATAATTTGTGTGGCTGCACACGGAATGTAGGCAAGACAACCAAAGAATCAAAACTGAAGATCTGCCAGTGGATCAGTTCATTGCTGCTGCTCCACACCTGCACTAATGACATGACTGATGCCTGCAGAACCATCCAGCTTCCCAACAGATGCAGTTTAGACTGTACCAGTGCCAACTGATCCCAGCCAGGATTGGGGCGTTACTGTTGCAGTCAGTTCTATTTTAGGGCTGGACCTAAAGCCTGCCAGTTTACTAAGAACTGATCTTTTGACTTCAGTGCCAGTTAGAGCAAGCGTTTAACTGGCCAAAGAATCACCCCAAGAGAAAATGAAAAATTAGTAAGACCAGAGTTCCTGATCATCGTCCATAACTGGACTAAGGTAAAAAGATATTCTATTTCTTTTGCTTTTGTATCACTTGAAACATTTAAAGTGCTGTTTAGGAACATTTCTGGAAGCAGAAATCTGCAGTTTGAAAGTAACTTTTCCACTTAAAAG